GCCAGCCGCATTTTGCGTCAGGGGTCGCATTGCCTTCTGCTACTGTCAAATCTCCTTCTGCTTTCCTTTTATAAGGTTGGGATTATATTTAAGAACCCGCCTGGATAACCCAGGATAATCTCCCCATCCAAGATCTCACCTGTGTAGACCCTTTGCCGTACAGGTAACATCACACAGGTTCCAGGTATTAGTACCCCAAAACCTGTGAGGCCATTACCACAAAGAGCAGAATGAGGAACGCACAGAAATGCAAACACTGAGCCCCACCTGAGACCTACCCGATCAGAATCTGCATTTTAACAAGATCCCCATGTGATTCACCTACACACTAAAATCTGAGAAGCACGGTTCTATGGGATCTTATCCAAGGGTTCTCTCATAATTGAGTCCCATGTCAAATGCAAATTGAAGGAATATTTTTCTAGGAGCCTTTTCAGGGCGCAGTAGGTGATCAGTGATCGATCATTTCCCCCAACGCCATCAGTGCTCGTCTAAACGACAGTAGTCTCCAAAATTCTCAAGGAAGCCAAGAGCCACAAGTCCCAGGATCGCGGAGCTGTTGTTTCTGATAGTTGGTACAAGGCTTACCACTGCAACGCAAATGCAATTCTTTAAAAGTGACATAAAAAAACGTAACTAAGTGGCCCCTCCTGCCAACGTCAGTGTTACTACCCCTATACAGATTTTCTTGGGCTAACAAGCGGGTAACTTTCTCAATGTGACCTATGCTTATGGCAATTCGTTCACTTTCTGCTGGTATGTAAACGACAGGGAAGGGAAAATCGTTTACTGACCACAGATCCCAATGTTATACTTGCCCCATATTACGCAATAAGGGACAGAGTTTAGACATTTTTAAAATGTTAATTTCACAGAAGGAAACCAGAAAATAGCTAGTTAATACCAGATCCAAAAGAATGATAAAGCTAGGTAGTTTCTGGTAATTAATGACTAAAAACCTCTGAATAAAGACGATTGGAAAAGCTAGGGAAGGGGTTGTAAGTGCCCTGACTGTCCACATGAGGGCAGCAGTGCTACGATTTACAAAGGCGGCTTCATTTCCGCGTACCCTTTCATGGGCCTGGAAACGATGAAACGATATGGCTTAGGGGGAAAAAGAGCACAGCCACTCAATTTTGCATGATTTATGGAAGTCAGTACACTATTTTAAATCCTGCTCGAGTACAAATATGCAAATCCTTAAAGTATATGAAAAAGTTCACTTGGAGTTACAGTATTAGCTGTCACTGAACTTTAGAATATCAGAGTTGCCTATTTTCCTTAAACCTAACATCTGCCTTAACAATGCAAATTCAAATTCCTCCTGTTCCAGGTATCTTCAGCATCCTCGCAGACTTACTGCCACCCAGAATGTTCTCCCTGTGTGTAAGATAGCAATATACAAGTATTAGAAATAATCTCAAGTTAAAGCCAAATAAATTTTGATCAAATGCTTAATTTGTAGTTAACCTGATTTTCATCCAGTGTTGGTATTAGGAAGATTGTTTTCGTACTTTTAGACCACAGATAATCTTGTTTGGTTAGCCAGGCAACAAGGCCTTAATTCAAGTCTTAGTCATTTTCTGATTTCACAGGCTGACTTAATAAAACCTCAGGTAAACGGAAGCCTCTGCGCATTTTAAGTTTCTATGTAGAAACGGACCCTGGGACTCGAGTCACCAACGCAGGGGTTCTCAGCCTTCGCTGCATGTTAGAAGTCCTGGGGAGCTTTAAAAAAGGTCCCTGTGGCCAGGCCACATTGCAGATGGTGTGAGAGAACTCCGGGCAAGAGCGCCCAGGCGACTGCAGCGCGGCCTTGACTGACACACGCTGAGGCCTGACCTCAGAGGTTTAGCAATCGGATTTAATGCCAAGAGCAAGGACTTTGTTGTTTTGGCATAAGCAAAAACAAATGCTATTATTAGTTACACAAATTTTATAATTTCACTGTTGGACTTGGGTTTTTACTTAGCCATACCTATGCATTAAACCGACGTGAAGATGTCTTCTAGCAGCCTTGTTTTTATAGATCCTTCGATGTGGTTGACTCAAGTGAGTTAATATGATAGCTGGGCAGAAATCAGGAAAAGCTTCACGGAATGGGCACTATGCATGGCCTTGGAAGAAGCCCAGGATCTGACAGGACCATAAGTGTTTCAGGCACCAGTGAACTAGGAATATAGCACTAGGCAGATGGTACGGCTTGACTGACAGTAGGTTCCACGAAGAACTGCAGCAGAAAGAGGTGGCTTGCAAAGAAAACTTGGGATTTAATTGTAGGTCTTCAGGCATCATTCTGAGTAACCTGGACTTCATGCTGTAAGTAACATGGTGCCACTGGACACCTGTGAGCAGGAGAGGCACGTGATGTGCTGCGAGTAGAGAAGCCTGATGCGCTTTAGGCTCAGATGTGAGGGGGAGGATGACTTGTGGGCGGGGATGGTTAGAGAAGATGGGACCCATCAGAAACATACTGATTGAAATAAAACACATTGGAAATAAACACGCCGGCCCAAATGAAAGTTCACCAATCCCATTTTATTTTTAGGAGACTTGAAGATATTTTTCAAAAACAACAATAAAAACCATACATGGGGCTTTCCATTTCACTGCAAATACATTTTCCCAATTTAAGAAACTTTTCATTCAAATATCCTTTTGAACAAACTTCTCAACAAAAAGTGCTTTCCTCATATATTTCAGTAACTGAAAAATTATTTGACATATATATCTCATATTTAAATTGAAAAAAGTAAATTTGAAGCAGAAACTATTATAAAAGGGCATTTGTTTTGGTAAGCATAACAATCTTTGGTTGACAAGCACTTGTTAGGCTTTAATAGTACATAATCCTTGAAAATAGCTATAGCAGACATATTTCAGAATTCTAGCTTATTCCCGCTCAAACTCACCTTCCTAATGCCCCTCACCAGAGACCGCAGAAGGCACACTCGATAGAGTGAAATAGTCTTCACTCTGGTCCACCGATCCCCCAATCATGTCCAACTCAGGGCAACGTTTCTTTGGCCCAACTTGGGCTACTAAATATAAAAGTGTAAAAGAAAACGTGTAAGAATGAATTAGAGTAGCAGTCCCTCCTCTTTGCCCACTGGCTCATCTGGAAGAGACCCTGACTGGTATGAGGACTCAGAAGAGGGGGAATCTCTTCCCCCTGAGCATAACGTGCTACCTGAGCTAGGTGATTTTTCTTCCTTCTAGGACCAACAAGTTTTCTGATGGGATGCACACAAAAACTAATTCTGATGCAATTTGAGGTTATCTAAGTTTACTCCCCATGAAACTGCCTATGGCTAGGTGATGGAGTGGTTATCTTTTTATTCAAGAAGGGAGAGAAGACCACCAAGGGCAGAAGTTTGCGTCCCTTCAAGAGTAAAATTCTCCCTGAGAAAACTATATAAGGCCACAGCATTCACTTTGTACTAAGCTGGCATTCTTGTTACCGAGTGTGCTCTAACTTTTTACAGAAGTATGCAACTGTTTTTAAATTTTTATTGATTTAGACGTGTTTGATATTAAAGTGAAAAGCCCTGGCTGGCATGGCTCAGTGGACTGAGCACCAGCCTATGAACCAAAGGGTCGGTGGTTGGACTCCCAGTTAGAGCATCAACCTGGGTTGGGGGACAGATAACTAGTAGGGGGCGCGTGAGAGGCAGCCACACACTGATGTTTCTCTCCCTCTCCCTCCCTTCTCTAAATATAAAATTTTTTTAAAAAGTGAGCAAATGTCATATACTAACTTTATTTATGGTTTCTCTATATTACCAAGAAGTTACAAGTGTTTCTTTTTAATAGAATTTTACCCTATTTACTGAGTATATTCCAATAATATTCTTAGTTAAGGAAATCAAATTTACTCAAATTCTCAGTTTTCAGTGACTTTTTTAACATTTAAGGACTGAAGCAGTATACACACATTTATAGACTTTTTACAATAAACTATATATCATCATACATATAACAGTTCAAAGAACGAATCAAGAGTTGGTATTACTAACTTTTGGAAAAAAGTTTTCAAAATCACGTTCTTTACAGATGAAATGTAATCTCATTTTGAAGTATATTTCTCTAAATTTTGAGATTTTATAAAAACATCATTTCCCCACCTTAATACTATCAGGGACCCTGTGTTGACTTGCCCTACAAATCCAAGGGGTGTTTAAGGTAAAACAAGCAAGATAATCATATCCAAATTCATACCCATTTATAAGGGGCATCAAAGGACAACGACTACATTCAAATGACATTAAAACATCAGCGTTATCTTAGCATTAATGACAAAGAAACCACCGAGCACCTTTATCAATGTTTCCCTGATAGATTTATTGATATGTGGTAACATTGTGTAAGTTTAAGGTGGACAACGTGATGACTTCATGTTATGAAATGAGCACAGTAATTTGTTTACTCCCATCAACTCACAGTTACAAAATAAAAAAAAAAATTTTTTTCCCCTCATGATCAAAATTTTTCAGACCTACTCTTTTAGGAATTTCCCAATATGCTATACAGTATTACTAGCTATAGTCGTCATGCTTTACACCACATCCCAATACATGCTTATTAACTGGAAGTTGGTACCTTTTGAGTACCTCATCCAGTTTCCTCACCTCGCCACCCCCATCGCCCCCCTCTGGTCCCTCCAAAATGGATTTGTGTTGTTGTCTTTTAATAGATTCTACATGTAAATGAGATCACACAGTATTTGCCTCCCTTTGTATGACATTTCTCCTAGCAAAATGCCCTCAAGGTCCATCCTTGTTGCAAAGGTCAGGGCTTCCTTTTTTGACTGAATAGCGTTTCACTGTACAAGCATAGTTCTCTTTAGCCATTGATCCATCGATAGACACTTTGGTTGTTTCCACGTCTTTGTTATTGTAAATAAAGCTGCAACAAAAGGAGGGGCAAATATCTCTGCCACACGTTGATTTCACTTCATTCAGATAGACACCCAGAAGTGGAACTGCTAGATCATAGGGTGGTTGTATCTTTAACTTTTTGAGGAATCTCCATACTGTTTTGCATAGTTCCTATGTGAACTTAATGTAGACCTTGACATTTAGCAAAATCAAAAGGTAAAATGCCCTACATCTGTTTCTGGAAGCCATTTAGTGGGTCTCCTCTACTGGGGTGCGTAACTTATCCCGGCAGGTCTTGTATTCCGCATTAACCTCTGTTTTCCTAAAGACAAGACAAAGAGGCAGCATCAGACATCACCATAATTAAGTACAGAAATTAAATTCAGAAGCCTACTTAGACAGTGGACAATTAAACTAATATCAGGAGTCTCTGATCTAAGAAACAGTCGTTTTAAAACAGTATCAAATGTTCAACTCTCCTCCCTCAGAATCTCTGAGTACAGCACTGAGTCATATAAGTAATTTTAAATTTTCTAGAAGCCACATTAAAGAAGTAAAAGGAACAAGAGAATTAATTTTAATATATTTTACTTGATCCAATACAGAGAAAACATTAACATTTTGCCATGTGTTTTACATTTCTAGCACATCCTGCATGGGACTAGCCACACTTAAGTCCTCAGCCACACGTGGCCATTACTTTTTGAATTAGAAGATGTCATTGTACTCCCCGCCTCAGTCAACCTACCATAACTGACGGACCAGGGCTAAAATGGGCCCAGCCAGTTACTTGCAGCAGGCTTGTCACAGCAAGCACTCCCGGGAGGCCTAGCCAGTGTCAGAGCGGCAGTCAGACCTGGGTTCTTGATCTCTCTCTGTGGGGAGGCCACCACGTGAGCCACCACTGTCACAGGACCGCACTTGTGATAGAGCAGCTTCCTAAAAACTACTGTGGGCGGTGACGTAGTGGCTAGGCCTCTCCCTGAATTCTCCAGGACTGCTACATTTTTCTATTTTTTGAAGTCAATCCATGTTTTCTCTGTAAAAGTGGTATCTTTTTCTTTAAATTAGAATTTAAAATATAATTCCTATGTGAAAAAGATAAAAAGGATTAACACATTTCTGACATTTACTTGATATAACAATGAAGCTATTTGAAGATGATAAAAGTCTGAATCCCAATTACTAAGCACTATTATTTTATATTAACTTCGGCATTCACTAAATTAACTTCGACTGTTTACAGACACCTGGAAGCTCATGACATTCTGAAAACTACTTTCCTACTTGGTTTCTGCCTCAAAGGAATCCTGAGAGAACAAGACAGAGAGGGCTGGGAGGCCCAGACTGCCCTTCTAGTAGGAATGTTTGTCTTGCCCTTTGCCCATGGTTATCAAAGACACCGCTTCACTTTTACCAAGAAATTGCCCTTCCCACTGGGCTTTGCAGAACCTGCTCCCAAACTCTTGACTGTAACCTAGGGTAGCGCCTGACAGTGCAGGTGTTGGGGTACGTTCTCCCGCGCTTTCCCGCTATGCAGACACATTTTGGCAAATAGAGGGACACTTCCCATTTATCTCATTCAAACAGAAGGTGAGGGGTCAAAGGGTGTCAGGAAATGCAATCCAGGTTTCAAAATCTAGGGATCTTTTTTTGCTGGTTTCTCTTTATATGGTTAAAAAAAAAAAAGTTCTGGTCAAGAAAAAGATAAATGCCTTTACAGAGTTCATATTTACAAGTTGAAATTAAACATTTAAAAAATTAAGTGAAATGTATTTTGGCTTCTGTAAATGGACATTTTTCTTCCCTGCCCTTAAAATGAACAGATTCTACGATTACTTGATACTTAGCTAAAAAAAGTCCCTCACTTTCAGATTCACAGCAACTAGAAGCTAGGGGACATGGGGATATGACTCTATCAGAGCCCACCTCAAAGACAAAGCCTGTTAGTCCACATTATTTTACATTATTAAAAATGGAATGGTATAAAAAAAATAGGTAATTTAGCAAAGGAAACAGGAATCTAAGTGTCCTCTTTAATGTTTACTGTCATTGTATCTTAGATGGGGCTACTGACATCTATATATTTATCGAACATTTTTCAAAAGAAAGGACATCTGAAAAGAAACACAGAAAGCAGATACCTTTTAATGATGAAAGCAAACCTTTCATCTCTTCTCAGAGAGAAATAAATTTTACTTCTCTGTGGCTCTCACCAGTTAGGTAGGTGCTGAACAGAGGAAGGGAAAAAGCCTGAATAAAATAGTGACAACAAACCAAAAGGAAGACTGGCACAATAATTGGGGTAAAATTAGTGATAGGGGAGAAGGGAAGGAAAGCTGATGATTCGTTCCTACATGATGGCTTTTCTGATTCTTATTTAGGAACTGGAAAGAGTGAACTTTGTTGTGCAGGAAGCTACTTTAAGTTTGAAGTGTTATAGTTCATCTAGCAGATAAAGATTCTAATTTTCTGTGCAATCTGTTTATCTCTGAAACATTTAGCCTGAAGTGGATTATGTAAACTCTCTCTCACAGAGTAACAGATTGGGGGAGGTTCGGCCCTTGCCTCTAGGGCCTTAGATTTTAGGGAATACACAGAGCATACGTACTAAATGCATGTAACACTGTCCCAGGAACCCGTTTTATGACAAGTCACACATTTCCGGATACATTCTGACTTCTGCACTGAGTACAGATTCTTCCTGGGGCACCTCTGTTTTCAACCGGAGGGAGGTTCTCTGTAAAACTGATTATAAGACCTCCTGGGATTTTCCTGGGATGTGTTTAAATTTCATTAACACGCTCACTCTACAAAATATGTGTATTATTAGTTTTCTATTTAAAATTCTCAAAGAGCTTGTTGAATGTTCAAGAATTTGAGAACCAACTAGAAAAATGCCCAAGTTCACTTGACTCTTCAGTTTTTTGTTCCACGTCACTATACTGTCCCTCGCCTGAGCTGGCCTCTACATACAGTAGATCCCAAAAACTTTGTGATGTTCATTTAAGCAGATGGCTTAAAAATTACAAAGTTACTGAATCAGTCATTATTAACCTAATATTAAACACAGGTTTATAACAAATACCAAATATCCTTAACAAAAAAAGAAAAAGATTGTCACAATGATTTAAACTATTAAGAAACATAAATTATTCTAATGAACTTAGCAAACTCTCACTTATCCTGGAATGATATAACCAGGATAAAGAAAATCATGCATCTATGGAAAAAATAGTCACTACAAGTAAGTTAAAACATGCAAATAAACAGGCATCTGAGTTTGGGAAGCACACAGCCGTGACATGCAAAAAGGGACTGCAGCGGCGGCAAAGGACAGGGCAGGGCCATGCATTCCAGGGTTAGAGAGTGCGGTGGAAGAGTCGGGTAAGAAAAGGAAGGGGCGTGAAGATGGGGCCCATTTCAGGCCGATTTGGGGATCCTGTTCTCAGGTTAGAGCTAAGAAGCAGAAAGTGGCATTACAACAATTTTGTGACCATTTCCAACATAATGTAAGTGATGTTTAATGACCTTAAAAATGACTACTTGTACTATTTTGTACTTTGTTTTGCTGCTTGGTTTGCCCTCTTTATTTAGCCAACGGATGAGGGACAGTTCTATTTTGACAGTGGTTTCCTTATATGTAATAATTTTGGGTGACATTCTCCCATAGACTCCCCAATCATATACTTCCTAGGAAATGCTACAAGGGCCCTAATGTATTCTCCTACTTTCATATACCCCCTGCCACATGTTGCCATGCATACTTTAGTAGTAATTTCCCCGAGAAGTCTAAGGTGTAATCAAACCTTACATGTATATGGGCAGTTTTTAAATTTGCTATTCTATGTCTCACCCCTTTTCATGTTTCATTTCAATTTCACTTCCTTTATCGTTCTACACCCCTGCCCCTTTGGCAAACCCCCAGCTTGTTCCCTAGATCTATGGATTTGTTTTGTTTTCTTTATTCATTGGTTTTGTTTTTTAGATTCCATTTATAAGTGAAATCACATGGTATTTTAATTTTGTGAAAGATTTTAATTAAAATCTTTTTGCTGTTTGACTTCTACCAGTCTGTCTTCAAGGTCACTGATTCATTCTTCTGTATTAACTAATCTGTTGTTGATACCTTTTAGTTTATTTTTCATTTCAGTTATTGCATTCTTCAGCTTTGCTTGGTTCATTATACTTTCTCTTCATTGAAGTCTTCCATGAGTTCCTCTGTCCAACTCTCAAGTTTGATAAGCACCTTGTAACTGTTTCTTTCAATTCTTTAAAAGGCAAATTATCTCCATTCATCAGGGTTTCTTCTGACACTTTCTGTTTCTTCATTTGAGACATCCTTTCATTTTCATTGTTTCACTTCCTATGTTTGTTAACATGAATTAGACAAAACAGCTATTTCTCCCAGTCTTAATAAAGTGGCCTTGTGCAGAAGTGACCTCTATGTAAGTTGTATGTCAGGTGGTTTTTGGCAGGGTGCTTGGAGCTGAGCGGATGCCTACAGCGTCTGAGATGTGGGCCGACTGAGATGGGGAGGCTCCAGGCTGGGAGGTCAGTTGTGTGCTCTGTTGATCCTGCTTCCTCTTTGGAGTTGAAACTGGCTCAGATAATAATTCAGCAAACTTACACGTAGGCCAGAGCACCTAGAGAGAGGTCCCATCCACCTTATCAAGGTGTAGAGGGACATATACAATAGTGCTCGCTGGCAGCACCCACCTCAGAGATTTCCCTATTGCTTTGCAGCTTGCCTTCTCTATTAGATCTCTCTCCCTTCTGTTGTATAGAAACTGGTCTTGTATAGAGGTGACCCTGCGTAGCTTGGGAGTGCTGGGTAGTTTGGACAGCCTCGTTGGGGCCAGGCAGGTGTCTGGGGCTCTACATTGTCAGGCTGGAAGAGCCCCGATCAGGGACACCTTGTTCATCTTGCTTGCTCCTTTTACTCGAACCCAAAATGGGCTACGGGGAGTGTGATTGGGAACACACTGCAGTAATCTTGCATGTATAACAAAGCACCCAGACGGAGCGCCCACTTGCCTTATCTAGGTGGAGGGGGGGTGTATACAATGGAGTCTACCAGCACTTCCTATCTGGAAGTTCCTCAAGATCCCCGACAGCCCCTGCAGTTCCCCAGATTACTCTATTTGGCCTCCTCTCTTTTGTTCTTCAGAAGCTCTTCAATCAGCTCTCAGTTGCCTATCAGGAGTTCTGATTTATATACAGGTGCATATTTTGATGTGCTTGGGGCAGGAGGGGAGTTTGGCCTCCACCTATACCACAGACATTGTCAACCTCCTCACTATTTTGTACTTTGATATGAAGTCTGTACAAGGGCACCTGCATTTCCTAATCATCACAAATACAAGTTTACATGAAGTCCATTTTGTGCCAAGTTGTAACAGCAACTGGGGATTTACCGTGCATAGTGCCCTGCTTCCACAGTTACCTCTACAAATAGAAAAGACACTGCATGCATTTTAGTTTTGTAAAGCAGTTTCCAAGGCAACAACGGTCAGCTTGCTGTAGGGGGTGTGCAAAGACTATGAACATCAAACAGTGCAAAGAATATAAAATAAATATTCACTTTTTTAAAAGCAAAGTAAAGTTACTAAGTATTACCCCACATACTTTTTAGAATATATACATAGGTAAGAGGTCTTTAAAAATCCAATACCTAGAAGAGGAGAAAACTTGCCTATAAACTTCATGATATTTCTTCCAATTTCAAATGTATTGGCATATCGGTAACAGCCTTCACCCTGGTTACTCAAAGTATAATGCAGGCCCAGTATCATCATCACTTGGAGCTCACTACAAATGGAAGTCTCCAATTGCTAATGGTGCTGAAATTGATGCTCAGTTAATTCTTCACTTTTAAAAGACCCATTAAGTGATAGCTAGAGCGTTTGACTTAAGCTCGTTTAAGAACTTTTAACTATTTTGCCCTGGCTGGTGTAGATCAGAGGACTGAGCCCCGGCCTGCAAACCAAATGGTCACCAGTTCGACTGCCAGTCAGGACACGTGCCTGGGTTGAGGGCCAGGTTCCAAGTTGGCAGTGTGCAAGGGGCAACCACACATTGATATTTCTCTCCGTTTTTCTCCCCCTTCTCTAAAATAAATAAAATCTTAAAAAAGAAAAAAAAGTGCATTTTGATGCACTGATGTTTTAAACAAAGAAGGGATATTTTGAACAATATAGCAAAGCTATATTGTTTTGCTTTATTTAGAAGTCATTTCTATTTAAAACTTTTGGAATTGTGAAAGTACTTAACTGATAGCATTTTCTACTTGAACTGATGTGTATATGTGATTAAAAAATATTACTGAAAGAGATATCATATATGCATAGCATATGTTCTACAAATGTAAGACTTAAGATTCAAATGAAGGAATTGTGGGTATTTAAAACAAATAACCCATAATATAAAAGAAGTTGGAACTCTTTATGAGTGCAGATGTACTTTTATTACATAGCCCAAACCTAATGATCAATACGAAAGAAAAATACATATGTCATAAAATCATGAATACCAAACTTCTTAAAATTAATGGGGTTTGATTACCAGGCTACTTCCAAAATAATTGGGAAGAACAAATATGTAAAAATCAAAAATTTCAAAGCATCTTATCTTGGTCTATGCTTTAAAGCACATAATCTTGATTTATGCTCCAGGATTTATTCTTTCATTAAATTGTAAATTATTTCATTAGAATTTAAGTTTGATGCTTAAAAACCCATGACCTTAGATGAATTTGTACATTGTTTCTTTTCTAAGTCTCCCAGCTTTCTGATTTTAATAAATAGATAGATAAAGTTAATGAGGTGCCTTGTTAGTCTTACCCCTCTCAGCAAGTTTAACCCCATCAGTTTTTCTGCAACCTAGTAAATTAAGAGAACATAAGAGGGAAATCAAATAATGTTGCTTTTAATTCCCCAGTTTAGCTTGTATAAATAACTCCAAGTGGGGGAAAAAAAAAAATCAAACTGGGTGTTTGAAGACATCTACAAAGCTTCTTAACAACTACTTAAGTGAAAATGACAAATGGAAATTTTCATTAAAAAATTCCAATAATTATACCTGTCAAAATTTCCGAGTGAGAAATTTTAAATTAAATCCTGGCCACCGGCCCAATTTAGAATGTAGGATATACCTAGGGTGGGGAAGGCCCCATCATGGTCCACGATTTATTGCAGAACTTAAACCGTGAATCCCACAGAAATTTTTCTTACAGATGTAATAGCTGAAGCAACACTGCAGACTTCTTGTTACAATGATAGCAAAAGTAGCTATAACTATTTTTAGTAAAGAAATGCAATTCTGATGGCACAGTCATGCACAGACATTAAAAACGCATGCGATACAAAATGCAAATAAAAGCTGCACAGAAGTATGTAAAGAGTGAAGCACCAATGTGTTTAAGAAGTGCGCTTAAATTTACCCTTTCTTCTTCTTGAGACAGTACCAGGCGACAGTTACAATTACCGCAACGACTGCCACTACAATAAACCAAAGAACAAATGAAATGTAAGTGACAACTAATTACCAATATTCAAAATCAAGCAGAAGAAATTAACATTGGTTACAGTTCAGCAGGCAGGAAATGCTATTTTATTTAAGCACGTATATATATCTATATCCAGCTGGACTCTTCACCATCTAAATCCAATTCCCTGGAATTGCTTAAACAGTCCACAATAAGTCAGAGAAGAGTCCTTGCTTAATATAGAAAGTTACCCAAAACATATTTGGGATACAAACACATGTGACTAATCATCTTGACAAAGCATGTATTATTTAGGATTTGTTAATAAGCAGACATATAGAATATAAATGAACATGTAATCACCAATACAAGGTAGTATATCATATAAGAGGTGTTCCTAGATTGGTTAACTTAATTTCAAGCTATAAAATCTATAGAAACTAAAAATCCATTAAACAAATAACGCTCTTCTTTACATTAGTATTTTGACTTAAGTGGCATCAAATTGGGATACTTACATATAGCAATAACAATCCCAGCAATTGGTCCTCCACCTGAGAAAAAATTAAACCGTTTGAAGCAATTACATTTTAGTTAATCAGATCATCTATAAACTACAGCAAAGGAAAAGCTTATCAATCTAGTTTGGTGTGACTGCTAGTGCATCCAGCTATTTTGATCACAGAACCCTTCTAGTTTGAATTCAGGCTTAGGACGCAACAATGTTTTGTGCTGTAGCTACCACACCAGGTTATTTACAAAATATCACTATTAGAAAAATCAGAATTCACTAGATTAGTGGAAAATCGTTTTAAAAATGTATTATCCCATTATAGTTGATTTAGTTCTGTTTTCAATCTATTGTTTATGATTTTTATTACAAAATTAATTTATATTTTCCCACCAACAGTGGATCTGTGCAATAAGCCATAATGAAGTTCCATTAATTACACAAATCTGCACAAACAATATGCTATCATCAATCCTTCCTCAAGCAACTCCACCCCCAAATTAAGACATACCAAGGAGATTCTAAGAATGCAAAAGAAACACCCAGGCACAAATATAAAAATTATGCTTAGAAACTTAAACATACATTGTTTGACTATCCAAGGAGTAATAAATAATCCTACAGAATCTTAATCCTTACAAATGTTGGTTAATAGCACCTCTGCTTTTAAACTGGCATTATATTTATTAAATTTCTGTAAGTCAAAGCACACGATGACATGTTTACCTCTACTTTTTTCATTTCACTAAAAATAATCAAGTGTTTAATGTCTTAGGATGGCAGTGGGTTTACTGACACAATGAGAGTTTAACTACAGTGTTCAGAGAGAAAACATGGCAAGCCTAAGGTGCATTTCATAAAGATTCACCTTACTGAACTAGCCTAATATTAAGAAAATATATGTTTCTCTTCATTTACTTACCAAGTAATCTTTGTATTTCATGTAAATGACACAACATATCATTTTCTTGTACATGTGTTATATGAACTATGTGAGCCTACATGAAGTGTGTTACACCAGCCCGATCTGAAAAAAAGTTAAAGCAACTTAAAGCACTTTAAGGCTTGGGTGTACAAGGTATGATGAGAAAGAAAACTCATCTACCAATTGCCAACACAAAATGACACTATCAAATGGAAAGCAAATTATATTCTATAAATTTTAACCTACATATGAACACAGCAATCCTCACCTACAAGAAATCCTAATTTGAGGTACCTCTCTTAAAAACTGTATTACTGACATGTTTGCACTATTAAAATAAGTACAAATGTCAAGTATTACTCATTTGTGACAGGTTGTTTCTTCTCTGACTACAGATAATCAAAATACGATATTTCCAGCTTTAAGGTCTCATAATGCAGAGCATTAATAACCAAAATAATACCTAGGTCCTGAGGTGGTGGTACGGAGGAAGGTTCTAGAAAAAAAAAAAAACACAAATAAGTAAAAAAGAAAAAAAGACAATAATTAAGACTAAAGACCTCTAAAGTATAGGTTTAGAATTTATGCGCCTTTGAGCGAAAACTCTTATATTTTCCTTATATAAATTAATGTTTCTATTTAGAAGCAGAATCATAAAATATTATAAATTTATATTCAATGCCATCAGAATTCTTATTCCAGTCCAGTAATATTTCCTATAATAATATTCGGTGGTACAGCATGATTTATCATTACACTACTGTTAAAATTAGCCTATGGGTTGATGTGACTATACGTAGGATTAAAAAAAACTGGAATCCTTAAAAAAATTTAAAAGTTGATGTGCAGTAGAAGGAAACTTCCACAGGATAAAGGCCATTTATGAACAATCCACAGTGGCCCTGGCTGGTGTGGCTCCATGGAGTACCTGCTGGACTGTGAACCGAAAGGTCAGACCATAAGGACTTCAGATGTACCAACAATTTAAATTTAAAGAATGCAATCAGAACACATGGTTGAAATGGTTATAATGGTTATAAGAAAGACACAACACTCACAGCCATTAAGAATGATCGATATATCTACCTACCTCCTACTGTAAAACTTCTGCACATGTGAATGACCACTGATAGACTAAAAGTCAGAGTTTTAGAAAAATATTAACAGCATGATGCCATTTTTGTTTCAGGAAAAAAAAAAGAACAGATGCCAAAATATGTGTATCTACACATACAGGATTACTGATGTATAGAAACAAAGGCACCTGAACTATTAAGGGATTGATAACTCAGGTCATGGGCTAGAGAAAGAGAGTACCTTTTACTGTGCACGCTTTCCTAATGTTTAAAAATTTAAAAACTTATAGTCATGTACTAGTTATGTAACTAGTTTACATAACTAGTTATGTAAAAGTTATAAAAATAAATCTGTATTTAATAGTATAAGAGTCTTAAGAGAAAACTGACTAGTAAAAATAAGGCAAGGAAAAGAAAAAGAAAAAAGAAAACCCTAGAGAAAAATGTTTACCTCAGGTTAAAAGGGCTTTAATTTATGAGTTCTGACAAACCAACACCCATAACTTAGAAACCCAAGTTACTGGTTTCTCATATAGACAAATGAACAAAGGGCATGAATAAATAATGTACACTCAAACACTCTTCTCCACTGATAATTAAAGAAATGCAAATTAATACATGACATCATTTTCCACCCATTAGGTTATACAGTTCTTAACAATTGAAATAGAATAAAGAGTTCTGAACCTGGCTGACTGGGAACTGGAGCCGTGGAAGGAGGAACAGGACCTAGAAAAATCAATTTGATTCCATTCACCAGCCATATCAATACAATGCTATGGATTTAATTTTGATTTCTGATTTTTTTTTTTAAAAGGTTGATTAGTCATTAAAATGAAAAATGCATGCACTGTCTGAACTTTGCAACTCTTACTTTCTGGGAATTTAACCTAAATATATGTTCCCAAACATACATAAGATGTCTGCATAACAAGCTTCACTAGCTTTGTATTTTATAATGGAAACCACAGAAGTCAATTAATAATCAATCATAAAAAAGTGTTCAGAATAAACATATGTACCTTTAAAAAATACCATTCAAGTATTATTGTATTACAGTACATAATTTCTATTCTCTTCTTTTCCCTTAGTATTTCCTGGATCCTTTTTTTAATATTAGCAGAATTAGAGCTACTTTCTCACCATTATACAGACCTTCCTTTAACTGGTAACAAAAAATAATGTACAGACCCAGTAAGAATTTTGATTTTTCTTATTTTTAAATAAGCCTGTAGTTATAAATTTTCCTCACAATCAATGTTTTATAAATCCTTTGTGAATTCTTACAGTCCACTCTTTCAAAAGAGCACAACAACATAGCCTAGCCTGGCTGGTGTGGCTTGGTGGATTTGAGTGTAAGCCGGCAAACCAAAGGGTTGCTGGTTCAATTCCCAGTCAGGGCACATGCCTGCGTTGCAGGCCAGGTCACCAGTTCGGGGCATGTGAGAGGCAACCGATCAATGCATCTCTCACACAATCGATGTCTTTTCTCTCTCTCTTTCTCCTTCCCTTCCCCTCTTAAAAAATAAAAAAATTCCATAGGTAACATCATACTCAATGTTGAATGATTGAGAATTTTTGCCTTAAGATCAAAACCAAGACAGGATGCCTGCATTTCCTACTTCTGCTGAACAGCATATACTAGAAGTTTTAGTCAGAGCAATAAGGCAAGAAAAAAAAATACAGAGCACCAAGCTGGGAAGGAAAAACTAAAATGATCTCTGTTGAAGATGACATGATCTTTTATATAGAGAACTCTGCAGATTACATTCACAAACACATGTGTACATACAAACACAACCTGTTAGAATGAATACATAAATTCATCAAAGTTTCAGGCTGCAGAATCTACACCCCCAAATTAGTTGCATTTCTGTACACTAAAAATAAACAACCCAAAAGGAAATTGTGAAAGCAATTCCGTTCACAATGGCATCAAAACTAAAATACTCAGGAATCATCTTAACCAAGGAGGTGAAAGACTCCTCCTACACTGGAAACTACAAAATATTGCTGAAAGAAATAGAAGACAACATAAATAAACAGAAAGATATCCTGTGTTCATGGATAAAAAGACTTAATATTGTTAAGATGCTAATACTACGCAAAGTAATCTTGAGGTTACATGCAATCCCTATCCCATCTTGAATATTCATATTTCATAAATAGAAAAATGGAAATGTACAATTCATGAAAACCAAGAGTCTAAGACCAGCTAACACCATCTTGAAAAAACCAGCATTGTTGAAAGGACTCAAAATACCTGATTTGAAAGCTTGCTAAGAAGCTAATCCAAACAGTAGTCCTGGCATAAAGATAGACGCAGAGACCAAATGAATAGGAAGCCCAGAAATAAACCCTCACATATACAATCAAATATCCAAAAGGGTGCTAAGAATAATTAATGGGGAAAAGACAGTCTTTTCAACAAATGGTTCTGGGGAAACTGGATATCTACATACAAAAGAATGAAGTTGGTTTCCTGCCTTTTACCATACACAAAAACTACTTCAACATGTATTGAAGAACTTAAGCATAGATCTAAAACTTTAAAACCCTTAGAAGAAAACATAGAGGACAAGGTTCATGATGTTGGGATTTGGCAACGATTGCTTAGATGTGACACCAAAAACACAGGCAACAAAAGGGAAAAAAAGGATACACTGGTCTTCTCAAAATTATAAACTTCTGTTTATCAAAAGGGTGAAAAGGCAATCCAAGAATGGGAGGAAACATCTGCAAATCATATACCCGACAAAGGATTTATTTCCAAAATACGTAAGGAACCCTTAAAACTCAATAACAACAACAACAAAACCCCAAAATCAAAAATGGGCAAAGGACTTGAATAGACATTTTTCCAAAGATATAAAACACACCAATAAGCACGTGAAAATGTGATTATTAGTCATTAGGAAATGGTAACAAAACAACAATGGAATGCTTCATATACATTAGGATGGCTAGTAACCAAAAACAGAAAACAACAAGTGTTGATAAACAGGTAGAGAAATTGGAAGCTCTGTGTATTGCCAAGAGGAATGTAAAATTCATAATGAAAACTGGGGTTTCAAAACAGTTGGAGAGCCAACTTATTCAAGAAATCGATGCAGGTGGAGTAAAAAAGAACTCTGTCTCATTCCATACACTGTAAGAATTCCAGATGTACCAACAATTTAAATTTAAAGAATGCAATCAGAACACATGGTTGAAATGGTTATAATGGTTATAAGAAAGACACAACACTCACAGCCATTAAGAATGATCGATATATCTACCTACCTCCTACTGTAAAACTTCTGCACATGTGAATGACCACTGATAGACTAAAAGTCAGAGTTTTAGAAAAATAATAACAGCATGATGCCATTTTTGTTTCAGAAAAAAAAAAGAACAGATGCCAAAATATGTGTATCTACACATACAGGATTACTGATGTATAGAAACAAAGGCACCTGAACTATTAAGGGATTGATAACTCAGGTCATGGGCTAGAGAAAGAGAGTACCTTTTACTGTGCACGCTTTCCTAATGTTTAAAATTTTAAAAACTTATAGTCATGTACTAGTTATGTAACTAGTTTACATAACTAGTTATGTAAAAGTTATAAAAATAAATCTGTATTTAATAGTATAAGAGTCTTAAGAGAAAACTGACTAGTAAAAATAAGGCAAGGAAAAGAAAAAGAAAAAAAGAAAACCCTAGAGAAAAATGTTTACCTCAGGTTAAAAGGGCTTTAATTTATGAGTTCTGACAAACCAACACCCATAACTTAGAAACCCAAGTTACTGGTTTCTCATATAGACAAATGAACAAAGGGCATGAATAAATAATGTACACTCAAACACTCTTCTCCACTGATAATTAAAGAAATGCAAATTAATACATGACATCATTTTCCACCCATTAGGTTATACAGTTCTTAACAATTGAAATAGAATAAAGAGTTCTGAACCTGGCTGACCGGGAACTGGAGCCGTGGAAGGAGGAACAGGACCTAGAAAAATCAATTTGATTCCATTCACCAGCCATATCAATACAATGCTATGGATTTAATTTTGATTTCTGATTTTTTTTTTAAAAGGTTGATTAGTCATTAAAATGAAAAATGCATGCACTGTCTGAACTTTGCAACTCTTACTTTCTGGGAATTTAACCTAAATATATGTTCCCAAACATACATAAGATGTCTGCATAACAAGCTTCACTAGCTTTGTATTTTATAATGGAAACCACAGAAGTCAATTAATAATCAATCATAAAAAAGTGTTCAGAATAAACATATGTACCTTTAAAAAATACCATTCAAGTATTATTGTATTACAGTACATAATTTCTATTCTCTTCTTTTCCCTTAGTATTTCCTGGATCCTTTTTTTAATATTAGCAGAATTAGAGCTACTTTCTCACCATTATACAGACCTTCCTTTAACTGGTAACAAAAAATAATGTACAGACCCAGTAAGAATTTTGATTTTTCTTATTTTTAAATAAGCCTGTAGTTATAAATTTTCCTCACAATCAATGTTTTATAAATCCTTTGTGAATTCTTACAGTCCACTCTTTCAAAAGAGCACAACAACATAGCCTAGCCTGGCTGGTGTGGCTTGGTGGATTTGAGTGTAAGCCGGCAAACCAAAGGGTTGCTGGTTCAATTCCCAGTCAGGGCACATGCCTGCGTTGCAGGCCAGGTCACCAGGAAGGAATGCATGACAGACTACCAGACACTGATATTTTTCTCCTTCTCTCCCACCATTCCCCTCTCTAAAAAGAAATAAATAAAATCTTTATAAAAACAAACAGTCTATCACAGTGCTTATACCCACTAGGAACGGTCAATGAGTATAAAATTCACATGCAATCTTAATATATCCACCAAAAAACCATCTCTTCCCCCCACCCCAAAATCTCACAGCACTCAAGGTTCTCATGGAGGCTACCAGGGACCATGTATACAGGAATTAAAAAAGGTGGTTTAATGACCATGTTAACATGCGTAACTCCCCCCAATGCTTTAAAGTATTAGGACAACAGAAAATATACAAGCAAATTAGAAGACAATGATTGAGATTTGAGTTCAAGCACCCTCATTAAACAATGGGAAATGAAAGCCCACAGAAATGATATTCTATGAGTAAGCAGAACCAAACTAGGGCCCCAAGTGACGTCAGCCCAGGCTAACGCTCTTCCCACTATTCCTCTTGTCTCTTGTTCTGCTGAAACCAAGAAGAAGACAGAAATAGCAGCACTGAAATCAGGTAGAAAGTTCCTTCCACCACATCAAAATAATCTCTCAAGTCTTAAGCAGAGCAGTTGATGAGCAGCCCATGCAAGAAGTCCTCCATTTCATTTCATTAAATAATGACTTTTCCTGCCCGTCGGTTGGTGTGATATTTAGTTTCTATTCCCAGATAAAAATGCCCAGTAAAGACAAAAAGAATACTTGTATGGGGCGGGGGGAGGGGGGTTTAAATGGTACTAAATGTTGGGGGGCGGAAATAAGGGCAGGGGGAGGGAAGCAGGGAGGGACTGCTTCCAGTCCAAGAAATGAAGCAGTCCTGGATCTGGAAGATACCCTGTGAAGGTGTTGCCAGATCACGTTTAAAATGAATAAAATAGCAAAGTTGAGGACAGAAAACGTATTAAAAAAACAGAAGCCATGGACCTTGTTCACTAGCCTTATTGGAGTGATGCTCTAAGTCAAAGTCACATGAGCTTCCTTTAAGAACTTCCCATATTCCAGGCACTGTGCTAATTGCTTTTAATGCATCCCACTTAAAGGTTACTACCATCCAGTGAGGAAAGTATTAAATAATTTTAATATAAATAAACACATTTAAAGTTCATGTGACTTGCCAAGTCAACATGGCTGTTTATATCTGAGGACTATGGCAAATCATTTTAGAATCACTAAGTAGAACAACTAGAATGGCTGTAAATACGTTTGTTCTTCCACCTTTCATTACTAGAAATGATGAATGGGTGTAAATCATCAAATATTTAAAAGATTTTGAATAATATAAGCAGGAAGTTACAAAACCTGAGGCACTGGAAGTTGGAGGTATTGGGCTGGTTAGAGCGGGCACTGGAAAAAAAAAATAATGTTGACTGGATTAACCACTTAGGAATTACTGCTCTGTCATTTATATAAATTACACCTTTCATTTTTGACTTGTGTAGATGAAAATATCCATGCTTCAATTTTCTTCAAAGGTTGCTACCCAATGTCACACATAAAAAAAAGCTGAAGAAAAATTTATATACCTGTGTGAAATACATAACATGCTAACCCTATGAAAACATGCAAAATAACAAAAGCAGAATTCTTTGTGAATTTTACGTGTCATGTTAAGACATAATTAAACTAAAACTGCTTCATTTCAACTACTCTGTATCATTTACATTTAATGTCAAAAAAATTAAATCTAAACAAAAAAGAAAGAAAAAGACACTGTACCTCTAATACACTGTGGCAGCTCTGGTTCCCACATGCTGTTGGCTCCACAGACAACTCTACTTTGACCTTGAAGGTAAAAACCCTCCTTGCATCCAATTTCAACTGCTGCTTGGTAGTAATATTTTCGACTCATTCCTGACAACAGCATTCCATTTTCCGGGACTGGATACGGACATTTGACCACTACAAAGTGAAGAAATTCCAGAATTAATGGGAAGCTGTTTAAACTTAGGATGTTCATTATGGATAGTTTTTAATATTCTTGAAATGTTTCTGTCTGGTTTTAGTATCAGGGTAATGCAATTCTCATGAAATGTGGTTAGATGAGTCTCTGCACCCCTTTTTATTTTCTCTTGAAGAGTTTGTCTAGAGCTGCTAATATTTATTCCTGAAATGTTTGAAGGATTCCCCAGGGAGAAGAGTCTTTTTATGAGAAGGTTTAAGTTGTCAAATTTCTAGGCATAAAGGTGTTTGTGGTAGTCTTATTATCCTTTAAATATCTTTAGGATATATTCTGTGATGTCACTGTTTTAATTTTTTTTTTTTAAGATTTTATTTATTTTTAGAGAGGGGAAGGCAGAGAGAAAGAGAGGGAAATATCAATGTGTGGTTGCCTCTTGCTTGCCCCCTACTGGGGACCTGGCCCACAACCCAGGCATGTGCCTTGACTGGGAATAGAACTGGTGACCCTTTGGTTCACAGGCTGGCATTCAATCCACTGAGCCACACCAGCCAGGGCTAATTCTTGATATTAAAAATTTGTGTTTTCTTTTTTTCTTGTCAGACTGGTTATAGGTTAAAAGATTTTATTGTTCTTCTTCAAGATCTATTTGTTTAGTTAATTCTCTACTTTTTTCTCTTTGCAGTTTCGATTTCTATCTGTATTCTTTCCTTTTGTTTCCTTGTTTAGAGGATAATTTGCTCCTTTTTTTAGGTTCATGTGGAAGCTTAGATTACTAATGTGATGTTCCCCGTTTTCTGATATAAGTATTTCATGCTATTAATATCCTATTAAGCAATGCTTTTGCTGTATCCCCTAAATTTTGATAAATTGACATTTTGTATTTCATTTTTATTCAATTCAAAACACCTTCTAATTTTGCTTGTGAAGTCTTGTTTCATGGGTTAGAAGTGTCTTGCATAATTTTCATATATTTGGGGATTTTATATATCTTTATTTTGTGACTTCTACATTCATTCCATTGTGATCAGATAATAATATGTACAGTAAATGATTTCAACATTTTGATATTTGTTAAAAATTATCTTAATGCCTAGAATATTTAATTAAAGAATGTTCTCTTTGCATTCGACAAGAGTAATTACTTTGGTATTATTCAGTGGTTCCTTTCTTTCAAGAGTCAAATACTCTCCAGTGCTTCCTTGTCTTAAGTCATGCTCTAATGCCTTAAACATTGTTTTTAAAGTACAGGCATATGTCAAAGATATAGCGGGTTTGGTATCAAACCACAGCAATAAAACAAGTATCGTAATAAAGCAAGGTATAATGTTTTTGCTAGTGAGGGCCTTGCCTTCAATTTTTAAAAAGCACAACATCTGTAAAACACAATAAAGCCAGGTGTGATTAAACAAGGTATGCCTGTATGTTTCATCCAGAATTTATCAATCTTACTGGTGAGAAGATTAGTCTTTTATGATTTATTCTACCATTTCCTCTAGCCAGAATTCTTAACCATCTTGTAATAAAAAATAAATCCGTTATTTTTAAGGCAATGTGTGGTGAGCTTTTTGATACTCTGAAGCAAAAAAAATCCCAACTCATGCATCTACACAGTAGTTCACTATGTATAAATCAGAATACCAAGAACATGCGTGGTGGGTGGGGAACTTTACTTTTTAAAAATTAAATTAGAAACCAACAACAGGGTGAGCAAGCACATATGGCTATTTTGTTTACTTGTTGGTAAAGTATTTACAAAATATTTCCATACTATACAAATAAATAAATAAATAAAAATATTATTACCTTTACACTCAGGAGGATCACTACTCCATTTGTTAGGCCCAGAACAAACAAGCTTGCTCTCTCCGACAAGTGAGTATTCATCTGGTCCATTTGAAGCACTACAACGGTAAGTTACTACTTCACCATATACATATGCATCCTTATGGTTATTGGTGACACCATTTTGTATTTGTCTAGGTGGTTGACAGTAAATCGCTTAAAAAGAGAAAAAAGAGAACAGGAAAGGCACAAGAAAAAATAAAAGATTAGGACACAATTAACCATGTCCTCTGAACTGCCTTCAGTAAATCCATTAACATATGATTTCCACAATCTAATTGTAAATCCAATATCCCTTTAGAAGAAAGTTTTTTTTTAAAAAATGTATTATCTTTTTTCATTTTCATCCATAAGAGAATACAGTGAAATTTGCCAAAGGTATAAATGGTGTGTTAACGCAACAACCAAAATCTTGAGGTCTTCCTTTAAAAAGCCAGCTATTAATGAGATTTTCAAACATGTAAAACAGTGCCACAATTCTCACTATTTGGAAAATAGTTGTTTTTCATAAGAAATATATTGCATATATTAATATGTATTTTGCTTACTGTTCTCGATAATGAATTAATATTACTTTTAAAACATTTTAGTTTTAATTCCAAAATAATGAATAGCAATAGCCATACCCCACCTGAAGAGAAGCTATGTGGGGTCTTTCTTTTTTTTTAATTTATTTTTAGGACAGGGAGGGAGAAATAGAGGGAAAGAAACATCAATGTGTGGTTGCCTCTTGCGCACCCCCAACTGGGGACTTGGCCCACAACCCAGGCATGTGTCCTAACTGGGAATCAAACTGGGGATCCATTGGTTTGCAGGCTGGCACTCAATCCACTGAGCCACAGCAGCCAGGGTGAGTCTTTTTTAATTTAAAAGCATAAAGTCAAGCCAAGGCTCTAAATTCCAAAGACAGAGTATACTTACCTTCACAACGTGGGGGTTCATTATCCCAATTCACATTATTGTCACCAGAAAGTTCGCAATATAGAGTTGGCGGTCCAACTAAGTAATAACTAAGAAAAAAAAAAAAAAAGAGTAGTTTTTGGGGGGTTTTTTTGTTTGTTTTTTTTTTTACTAGTTAACATGATACACATAATAATGAAGGAAAATTTTATATGGTAGTTTTTCTGCACTACAGTAGTTTGAGAGAGAAGTTTCTTAAACCCTATAATGAAGGTACCAACTAAATCTACAATTTAATAAAGAGTTTCTGCCTTTGAGCACACACTGACCTAGAGCAAATTATCTACATACATGCCTGTCAATCTGGCCTCTTTGCTCTCTCCAGCAGGCCCATCAACATTCCCTTCTGTGCCCTAATTCATGTCATTCTGCCCAGTCAGGACAATGACTGTGTAGACAGATTAGGCCCTAGAGTTTCCCTGCCTGGATTTGAGTCCCAGCTCCACAACTGACTTGTTATTTGAATTGGGCAATGGTTGCTGGTTCTCTCTCTCAGTTTCCTCATCTATGAAAAGGAGATAATAGTGTATATACCTCATGGGGTTGTTGTGAGTAGTAGATGAGCCAGCATGTGGAACATGGTGAGCACTGTGTAAGCTTTAAGTCTTATCAATATTCTTCAGATCAGTGTATCTTCCCAGCAGTAGCTCAGGAAGACCCCTACTTGATGAAATCTCTAATGATTCAAATTCACAGTATTTTCTCCTCCTCTGGACTGTCATTGTAATTACGATGAACACATATATTTCTTTGGTATTTCTCATTTACATCTGCTTTGACATCTGTCTATGTATATTGTGCTCCTCAATAAGGCAAAAACTTCTTCGAAAAGAGTCTGTCTTAATCTTTCGGTACTCCTCAGAGTGCTTACCAGTTTCTAACTTTAAACTAGATATTTTTACTTAAGTAAAAACATAGTCAATGAAACTGCTTCTAGCTGCTTCCAGCTGACTATTCCTCCAAGGCTCACTCATTGGTTCTATATCAGAATGTATTACGAGAGGATTTGGGGATGGCAGTAGGGTAGGAAGCAACAAGAATTCTGTCTTCACACCTACACCACAATTATAATGCTAGAATCTACCTGATGTAACTATTTTGGAACTCTGGACCCCCTAGAAAGCTTGCAATTTCTAAGGGAGGGTTTGGACAAGGAGACTGCATTAACATTGGTCACTTTCAATTCTTAGCACAGTGGTGGTTACCCATCCCACTTCAACAGCAGGCAGCTGTGCATGTGTTCCTGGGGTAGCGTATAAGCAGGTTGCAGGAACCAGAGAAGGGAAAGAGAACCCCATCCTCACGAATACCTAGGATCTATGCTCGTATTACTGACTGCTGCTTCTGACACAGAAAAGCAGATAAAGAAATAGGCAGCCAGTATTATCACATGTTCCCTACTCTCACAAGCCCATTCATTGCCTACTGAAGTGACTTCTGGAAATTTAAAGATCTAGCATCCTTTGCTCCTCCCTCCAATTTTTGTTTTTTCCTCTTTCAGGAGCCCAACATTAAAACAAGGACATGCAACCCTGGCTGGCGTGGCTCAGTTTGTTGGAGTGTTGTCCAGTAAACCAAAGAGATGTGGGTTAGATTCCCAGTCAGGGCACATACAAGACCCGTGTGGTTTCTCTCTCACATCAATGATTCTCTGCATTCTCACTCTCCTCCCTTTCTACTCTCTAAAATCAATAAGGTCTTCTGAGGTCTTTTCTGAGCCTTTCCCTGGGCATCTGTAGTCACTTAATTTAACCCACATATGCATGTCTTTGGGTGAGGATGAAAAACTAGGACATGCATATGTGGGTTAAATTAAGTGACTACAGATGCCCAGGGAAAGGCTCAGAAAAGACCTCAGAAGACCTTCAGTTTATGTATCAGGCTGATCCTCAGGCCCTACAACCATCAAAACAGCAAAATAAACTAGAGAAAATAACAAGCCCTGGGAAAGAGAATTTAATTTCCAGAGTTACTTCATTATTAGATTGAAGTGTCCAGTTTAAGAAAGAAATAAGGCGCAAAGAGGAGAATATGGAGCCTTCCAAGAAAAAAATAAATTAACAGAAATTATCCCTGAAAAAGACCATACTACAGATCAAGTTAAAAAAGACTAACTTTTACAGATGCTTAAAGAAATAATGGAAGAAATATAGAAAAGTCAAGAAAACAATGAATGTACTCAATGTGAATACCAATCAGGAGATGGAAAACCTAAAAAGAAACCCAAAGGCAATTATGGAATTTAAAAGTATAGTAACTTAAATGAAAAATTCACTGGAGGAATTAAAGGCAGTTTTTAGTGGGCAGAAGAAAGAATCACTGAACTTGAAAGAAGGACAATGGAAATTATCGAGTCTGAAGAACAGAAAGTAAAAAGATTGAAGGAAAGTGAACAGAGCCTAAGGGACCTATGGGACCTGTGGGACGCCAATAAGCAGACCAACATACGCATTGTGGGAGTCTCAGAGAAGACAGAAAGAATCAGGTGAAGAGAATATCTGAAGAAATAATGGTTGAAAAGTTTGCCAAATTTGATGAAGGACATAGATATAATTATTCAAAAATCTCAACAAACTGCAAGTAAGATGAACTGAAGAGACCCATACTAAGAAACATAATGGTCAAACTTTCAAAAGCCAGTGACAGAATTTTAGAAAGCTGTGAGAGAAAAGTGAATCATCAGGTATAAGCAATCCTAAATAGAATTACCAGCAGATTTCTCATCAAGAACCTTGGAGGCCAGAGGACAGTAAACTCATATACTCAAAGTGATGTAAAAAAACCCCAAACTGTCAGTCATGTATCCTCAATCCAGCAAAAGTGTGCTCAAACATGAGGGAGATATTAAGATTTTTCCAGAAATAAAAGCGGAGGGAGCTGTTCACACTAGATCTTGCCTATAAAAAGCACAAGGGAGTCCTGAAAGGTGAAATTAAAAAAAGTAACCCAAAGGCATATGGATAAATAAGCATTTAACTGCAGGTTCCTACATGGGCAATTATTAAAGCTAGAATGATTGTAAGAATGATTTGTACCTATAATTTTTGTTTTCTATAGTGTTTAAGAAAGTAATCCTTCAAAGAAAAATAAATACATTATTGTGGAGGCTAGAATTACAATTTTGAGTGTAGGGGCTAATATTACATTTAACAACTAAAAGGTCGGGGGTAGAGTTGTAAAGGTGCACTTTTTATAATACGCTGAAATTAAGTTGGTATGAATTCAAATTAGAGTATTTTAACTGTAGGATTTTAAATGTAACATGCATGATAACCACAAACAAAAAACCTATAAAGCAGACTCTTAGGTAAATAAAAAAGAAATTTTAACATTTCACTATAAAAATCAACTCAATAGCAGAGGAGAGATTAAAAAACTATGAGGCATGTAGAAAACTGGTAGTGTAATCACAGAAACCGTTCTTCCTGTCAGTAATTCTTTTAAATTGAAAATGATTATATCCTCCAATCCAGAGACAGGAATTGGCAGAATAGATAAAAACAAAGGATCCAACTACAGGCTGTCTACAAGAGACTCACTTGAGATACAAAGACACAAACAAGTTGAAAGCAGAAAAATAGAAAAATATATTCATGCACATAGTGACCACAAGAGAGCAGAGGTGGCCACACTAATTCATACAACATAGACTTTAATCAAAAAGGGTTAAAAGAACAAAGAAGGACATTTTATTTTACTGAGGGTCCAATACTGTAAAAAGATGTTAGCATTCATAAATATTTATGGGCCTAATGACAGGCCTTGAAAATATATGAAGCAAAAACTGACAGAGCTGAAGGGAGAAACACACATCTCTACCTAATAGGCATTTCTCCAATAATAGTTGAAGACTTCAATACCTTACTCACCACAATGAGTAGAACCAGATAGAAGATGAGTAAAAACTAGAGAACTTCAACAATATAATAAACCAACTAGATCTCACAGACATAGTGCACTCTCCAACAACAGAACATGCAATCTCAGGTCCAAAGGAAACATTTTCTGGGACAATATTTTAGGCCACAAATTAACCACAGAAATTAATGTTATTAATAAATACCTAATGAATAACAATTATATTTGGCTAAAATATTAAATAATTAATAGATTTTTTAAAAGATACCATACAAAGTATCTTCTGACCACATGGGATGAAGTCAGAAATCAGTGTCAAAAAGAAGACTGGAAAATTCACAATTTTAAACAATTGGCTCAAAGAAGAAATCACTAGAGAAATTAAAAATTACTTTCAGATGAATGAAAATAAAGGCACAACATCCCAAAATGTATGAGAGACAGTGAAAACAGTGCCATGGGGGGAATTTATAGCTATACAAGCTTATAATAAAAAATGAGATCTGAAATCAACAACCTAACTTCACAACCTGAGGAACTGGAAAAAGAAGAACTAAACCCAAATTTTGCACAAGGAAGAAAGTAATAAAGATTAGAGCAGAAATAAAAACAATAGAGAAAAATGAATGAAACCAAAAGTTAGTTCTCTGAATCAATAACCTTCAGCTAGATGGACTAAAAAAAAAAAAAAAGACCCAAATTACTAAAATCAGAAATGAAACTAGGGACATTAATATCAATTATATATCCCTGGCCAGGCAGCTCAGTTGGTTAGAGCATCGTCCTGATGTGTCAAGGTTGCAGGTTCGTTCCCGTCAGAGCACATGTAAGAATCAACTAACAAATGCATAAATAAATGGAACAACAAATTGATATTTTTCTCTCCCTCTCCCCCTTCCTCTCTCTCTCCTTCAAAAAAAAAATCAATAAATAATATTTTAAAAAATACCCCCAAGGTACACAGCCACCTCCTGAGTCAAGCTGGGGACACAGAGTTAATACCAATTATACAGAAATACCAAATATTATAAGAGTACTATGAACAATTTTATGCCAACCAATTAAGTAACTACGATAAAATGGAAAAATTCCTGGAAACCCAAAATCAACCAAGACTAAATTACATAGATAAAAAATATAAGTAGACCTATAACTAGTAAAAAGATTGAGTCAGTAATCAAAAATCTCCAAAAAAAGAAAATCCCTGGACTTGATGGTTTCTTGGTGAATATTTAAAGAACTGCAAGCCTTCTCAATAATTTTTTAAAAATTGACGAGGATGGAAGTCTTCTGAATTCATTCTGTGGAACCAGCATTGTCATGATATCAAAGCTAGTCAAAGACACCACACAAAAAAAGGCTACAGATGCACATCCCTGATGAACCTACATGTATCAATAACACTCCTCAATGAAAGATGACCAAACAGAATTGAGGGGCCTATTAAAAGTATTATTCACTATGACCAGGTGGGATTTATTCCTGGAAAGCAAGGATGGCTCAACACATGAAAATTAATTAATGTAATATGCTACATCAATAAAGGGGAAAAAACACATGATCATCTCCACTGATGTAATAAAAGCACTTGATAAAATTTAATACTCTTGCATGGTAACCATAACCTACAAACTAGGCAAATAAGGAAACTACCTCAAGATCATAAACACCACACATGAAAAACTCACAGTAAACATCATACTCAATGGTAAAAAGCCGAAAGATTTTCAATATAAAGAACAATGCAAGGATACCTGCATTTACCATTTCTATTTGACATACTACTGAAAGTTCTAGCCAGAGCAACTAGGCAAAACAAACAAAAGTTATCAAAACTGGTTAGGAAGAAGGTAAATCATCAGTGTTTGTAGATACTATGATCTTATATGTATAAATTTCTAAAGATTACAAACACACACACAAATCCTGTTAGAACTAATAAATGAATTCAGTAAATTAGCAGGACACAAAGTTAATATTAAAAAATCAGTTGCATTTTATAATGTACTACTTTTACTCTATAATGCATATTTTTCATAAATTTCCAGTATCCTGAATGTAACTATAAAAAGAACACTATATTACAAAGGCTGCTATTAAGTGCTCAGTACCTCTTTTTGAGACCTTCACTCCATTGTAGCAGTCTCAAAAACAAGGCTTTCTACTAAGGGACCTTGATTAACATTATAGTCCAAGTTTACCAGGTCAATTTTCATCTGGTAACATCTGACATGAGTTATTTCAATATAGGATTATTTTTGGTTGGCAATTCTACCTCCCGTTTCTATAAGCCTTTCTTCAACTCTGAGTGTTGCTCATTTTATGGGTGCACTTTGGCCCTGGCCAGTGTGGTTCAGTTGGTTGAGTGTGGTCCTGTAGACCAACAGGTCACAGGTTTCATCCCTGGCCAGGCCCATCCCACAGGTTCCATCCCACACCCAGCTTATGAGAAGGCAGCCAAATGATGGCCCCCACCCCTTAAAAAGCAATGAGAAAAGTGTCCTCAGGTGAAGATAAAAAATAAAAACTATAAATAAATAGGGTGCGCTTTGTTGTCAAGGAAAAGCCATCATGATTACATTTTTTAGTACTGACAGGCTTATTATTATATATATCATTACACAATTTAGCTTTACTTTAACTGAAATTTCTTTCTATTCTTTACACATATTTTAGTCTCCATTATAAGCCCAAGAGTTGATCGGCTCTAAGTACAACTGGTCACACAGAAAGCAAAATGAAGTCAACATTATGGGAATGCTTAGAAGAGAAGCAAAACAAAAACAGAATTATTTATATTCTATTTATCTATTTTTTCTACTTACCCATCATTACAAGAATAGTTAGCCCGTGAACCAAACTCAAAGCCTCCAACGACTTGGCCATTTATGGGTTCTCCTAGTTGTTGACATTGTTTTTCTGAAAAATTTTGAAATTTGTTGTTTCATATAAATTTCAAAACAGGTTTGAATCAAAACCAGAACTCCATATTGCTCTACTGAATTCACGGGAATGTTATTTTAACCATTGAAAGACAAAACTTTTAATATTCACATTTACCCAGACAACCAACTGCCAAGAAAAAGATTTCTGGAAATTTTTCAAAGCCTGAAAAAATACATTACTTTCTAAAACCTACTTTTGTTACCAAATAATGGACCCATGGGGGGAAGGGTGCCCAGATGCTATTACCGAAACAATACCCGCCTCCTCAAGGGTCCCTCAGTTGTAGGTCCTTTGCCTGCCACCCTTGAAATAATGGCAGAGTTTGGTGAAAAGGAAAAGACGTATTTATTCAAAAGTTATACAGGTTTGATTAATGCCTAAATGCTGCCCTTAAATCCAAAAATCCCTTTAAAACACCTGCCAACACACACAGTCCTGCCTTCCCCGCTTTAGCCAGTCAGGCCAGTCAGGGTACCGTCCTTCAAAAGAGAAAGAACAAAAGCCCGGGCCGGCTAGGCAGGCCTCTCACGGTGCCCAGCACCATCCGCTGTGTTGCCGCGATCTCCAGCTCTTAATGCAAATAACGTGGCACCTTCTCATGTCCCACTAGCAAGAGTCCTTTCTCCCCTTTTCTTCCCCCGTGGTCTTCACATTGTTCCCCAAGAGCCTGTGTCCCTTTATCTCTCCCGCAGACCCTGTCTCCCCTCTCCTAGTTACATCCTGTGTTAAAGGTTTTCAAACCTTCCCGGTTAGCCTTGTTGAGATGCAAAATAACCATCTTTGCACAGGTCTAAAGCTATCCTGTTATTGACATGCAAATGACTCTCAATGGCCCTGCTCCTGGTCTCCCATCCCCCATGGTGGCCTGTCTTGGTGGGGAGAATATCTTATATTTTTCTTGGACACCCGAAGTTTTGTACTCCATTACAAATACCCTTTGTGGGGGGTCCTGGCTGTGCCCCATTACACTTTCACATGAGAAAACCACCATTATTAATAGTGGAATATGCATCCTAAATGCGAGGAAACCTCTAGTGCAATTTAAACAGTTTTGTGTACTTACTTTTGCAAGCCTCCTGGAGAGGTTTCCATGTGCCATCAGGTTGACAAACAGAAGACAAGGGAAGAGGAGGAAAACGGCGCATGTATCCTGGGCGACACTGATATTCTACTTGTTCCCCAGGTTGGTAAGTATCCTGAGAAGAGCCTTTGAGCGCCATAGTGTTGAATCTCGGTGGAGCACCACAGGAATCTGGGTATAACAGAATGAGAACATGGAAGAAAAGCATTTTCTCCTTTTCAGCAACCACGGATTATGGCCTGGCAGCAGGCAGGCAGGACAGAATACATGGAAAGGTCCTTGGCAAGATTTTAAGTGATTGTTCTGTGGTTTTACCGGACGAGGTGCCTCGCCTGATTTAAGTAACATTCTATCAGCTTTCAGTTTCTTGGGGTTATAAAGTGAATATTCATTCAACAGTAAATTAAAGAGATAGCAGCAATATTTTTGGTTTTAAAATATATTTATAGGTATGCAACCTTTACCATTTTTCAAAGGTCATGTCACACTCCTCATTCCCCTAAGAAGACTTTTATATATGTAGCCCTTGGTCAGATTACTCTTCCACACTTTGAAACACAAACTGATGAAGACTTGTCACTTTAGGCTCAGTCTCATCTCGGGAAGTAAGGTCCTAGAGGTCAGAGATCAGTCATATGCCTTCTTTTGCTTCTACACTCTGCACCCAGTGCTACTCGAGAAATACTACGGTAAGAGGTAATTATTATTTAAGCATTGCGGATTTTACAGATCAAAATAAATATGGACTAAACTACTTCAAAATATAAGATAATTTCATATTAGTGAAATGAACATTTTATAAGTGAATAGATGCCATTCAGAATCCAATTTAATTACTTTGAATAGGCTTTATATGGAAAAACAAAAGTCTGCCTTCTTGACATTCCTTTAAATATATAATTGACCCTTGAAAAATGCTGGGATTCAGGTTCCCCGGCCCCCATGCAGCCGAAAATCTACATATAACTTCTGACTTCCCCAAAACCTAAGTAGAGTGTTCCTTGTGTATCAGTGCAGGGTGGATTCCAGGACTCCCTGCGGACACAACAGTCTCTGCGTGCCCAAGTATGAGAAGTGATGGAGTGGGGAATGATGCGCACAGTATGCTCTCCACATTGTCAAATTCCCAGCCTCAGATGGCGAATACTGTTGGTTGTTTCCACAGGTGTGAAACCCAGAGAGCAGGCAGACAATATATTTACAGGGAAAAAAATCGCATGTAAGTGAATGCGGCTAGTTCAAGGGTCCATGTTGTTCAAGGGTCAACAGTAATTTAATCTTCCTTCCCTGAGCAATGAATCATTCATGACCTCAGAAGCTCCCTGAGGTAACTAGCTGTTTAGGCTGTGTATCCAATACATCCCCTACAGTAAAGCTACGATATTGCTATGCTTTTAGAATTTTTTACTTCTGATTTTTTGGGGGAGAGGTGTTTTCATTCCCTTGAATAGTATCATTTCTACGTTAGCAATTCCTTGTCCTTTAAATTATCTGTGGGCTTGAAAAACCTCACAGATCTGTTAGAACAATTACATAAAATAACGTGATGGAGACACATCAAGTCCTAAAGAGCTAGCAGAATGTAGAGGCCTATCCTACTAGGTGAGGGACCTAAAGACAAAGATCTCTTTTGATCCCTGAGGCACCTTTCCTTTCGTACTCCCTGCATTGGTCTTTCTTCAGATTGAGAGACCAGTAAAGATAACTCTAAACAAGTGAAATTTTACTCTTCTTTCCTATCATATTCTAAATTCTAAAATTCTCTATATATACACAGTCCAACATTTCATTTCCATCATGTCCTGAAATCCACCTACCATCAAAAGTTTTCAACGTTTTCAGTATGCTGACCTTGGTATCTCAGTATTTCCCAATCAACTGCTCAAAAGAGAGCAAAAAGCAAACCGAAAGCCCTAGTAATTAAAAACACTGTTGGAAAAGAGGATTAGTAGTTAAAAGCGTTGTTTAAAAAGAGGTGAATTTATAACATTACATTTACTGAATACTCTGAGCTAGATATTGTCACTTTCAACGGGAAAACAAACATGGGCTAGAGATGCTATACAATTCCATTCAGATACAAATGAATAACATCATTCTAGAATTTCCTGGAACCAACAAGAAAAAAAATCAAGTAATAGCATGATTGTAATTAAGTTATACAAGTATCCTTTGTTTCATGCATTCAAGCTCAGTAACTATTTCAAAAGCCAATAAAGAAAAGGGGATTCCTAATGACTTCCACATATATTCTCTGTATGGGAAAGGAAAAATCAGTAAGACAGTTTAATCCATTCAACTACTTAAAGTGTTTCTTCCCACTAGCATGCATCATGAAAGCCATGCTTCCACCAATGTGCAGAGTGTAAATTCTGGTTTGGAAACCAGTTGATCACAAGCTTTATACACTGTAATAATGGAGTCCAATATTACACTTATTTACTAAGCAAATTTCCACCCTAGCTCAGAACACTAAATTTTCTTCCAATGAGGATGTTCAAACTAAACATTCCCAGACCCACAAACATAGCATCTTGACTTATTTTTTTCTAGGTAATTTAAATACAATTATTACTTGGCTGTGATGCTATGCTTTACCAATAAATGACATTATGTAATATGACGGGCTGCATTCAGAAAATTCACCAATGTCCCAGATGAGTTTCAGGAAAATAAAATAGTTTTCTGCTAAGAGAACTGCTCATCTTCTCTACATTTGGCAAAACTGGGTAAGCACTCTCTACCTGCTTCCAGAAATTAAAATCACTTCCTGACATGAGTACACGCAGCCCTGCCCCGAGTGGCGCTTTCAGAAAATCACGTTCTCTGACCAAATGGGAACCCAGTGAAACCTGACCATCCTGCTCCTTCTCCCACTGTCTACAGTCTTTTTAAAGACTTTCTTTGCTTCTCAAAATGCAGACTCTGGCATCTACAACTGTCAATTTTATTTTACTTCCTCATTTCTAGGTTTACAAAATCATTTAAATTACTTTCAAAGTCATTAAATGGCCTCCTTGCTTTTCAATGAATCTTAACATTTTCTTCCTCAGTAATTTTAGTTACCCTGTCTATAGTATCTGGAGCTATTGATCGCTCTGTCTTCGCTCCTTTCTACCCGAAAAACTCTCTCTTTGGTTTCCAGGACAGCACAACCACCTTAGTTTTCAGCTTGTCCTCTGGTTCATCTTCCCTCTCTGCCTGATCGGATAATGAATGGGAGAATGTTATGTTCCTAATGGGTCCATCTGGGAACTCTTGTTATTTCGTTCTGCAGACCCACTGTTATTTCATTCTGCAGAGCCCCTGGGTGGGTAGATATGCTCCCATGACTTCATTACCCCTGAGAAAAGCTGCCTCCCAAATCCTTCTCCATCCCAGATCCCTACTTGGGGTGCTAAGTCTACATATTCAATTGCCGCTCCACACAGCTCCACTTGGAAAGTGTCATACTATCTTAAATAACATAATGAATGTACTCTTTTGATTCTTCACACCCACATATACCCAACAAACTACTTATATTGTTTCCACAACTGAATGCCTGTTCATCCCTCTAGCTCTGTCCTTTACTTCTACAGCCACTATCATTTATCTGGATTGTGACCAGAGTTTCTGAACAGGTCTCTTCACCTACTTTGGGTACTATTCATTCATTTTTCATAATGCTACCAGAGTAATATTGATATGACACAGTGACCAAGGACCTCCCGAGTCAGACGCTTTTCAATGGACACCCGATGCCCTCAAGTTAACGTCTAAGGCTTCTTAGCACGGCTAACAGTCTTTTACAATAGAATCTGTCACTATCTGAATCCTGCTTTCTCTTGTACACTATTCTAAAGCCATGTGCAGTTCCTTGTAGCGGCCATTAAACTACTTAAATTACGTCAGCACCCAGGCCTGCATGTGTCATTTTCCTTCCCTTTTGACCAGAGACCTTGTCATTCCTCCCACCCGCTCAGTTTCAGTTTCATCCTAGGTGCCAAATCTTCCTTGAGGCTCTTGACATCTCTCACTCAAAATACTGGGATGTCATCATGATACCCCAATATACTTTTCTTACTTCTCATATTGTAATTCTTTATTATTTTTATTCCCCACAAGACTGTCACCTCCTTGAGGACCTCGTCTCACTCATCACTGCATGTCTAATACCTAGTGTCAGAGCTGAATGGCCACTGTTGATCAGTTCTATGTACTGTCAGATCAAAACTCAAATTCTTTACTATTCAGCCAACTTGTTCCAGAGATATCTGCAAATCCTAATTGTTTTCTTCAGTTTTTGCCTGTACTCAGTTTTTTTCCCCATTGGTTAAGCTATAGTTATTTCCCTTTGTTGACATTTTAAATTTCGTTCACGTCCAAATATCTATGCTTGGTTTGATACGAACCCATTCTCCATTACCTCTGTTATTAGAAATGGCATTTTAACATTAGCAAAGGCAGCCTGCTGGCCAGCACAGCTTTGACACAAGCAGCCTGGTTCCAAAAGGAATCGGTCTGAAGGCACCCCAGTTGCAATTGAACAGCCTGATTTCAAGAGTCAGGCAGAAAGGCCAACCGAGTCCTTTGAGACAAAACACGGACTTAACCAAAAAAGGATGAAGCCTTAAATGAGATCTGGAGGCAGCTCCTTTAAGTAAGACTGATTCCTCCTGTTTTAGCAATGGTTCTTATTTAAATGGCAAACATTGTGTTGGAATGCAGTTGTCAACACCCTTTGATGCATCTGCGCTGGTTGGCTACCACAGCCAGGCTCCTAGGGGCCTGCACCCTAGCCAAGGGCGGAACTGCTGACCTTTCTACTGATGGTAGGGGTGTTTCAGAGTAGTTAATGACTTGGAATGTTGTGGAAGCCACAGGGTTTTCTTACTTCTGGCTGAAATGAAATTAAAAATGGCCCGTATGTTCAAAAATTATTAGATGCTACACTCTTACCTACTGCTGTAGGTATCACTAAGATCCCAGGGCTTTCTAAACTTGACTCTCTGGAAGCTAAAGAAAAATCACCTTGCTGACATTTCCACAAGGAATGCCATCCTTAAAAGGGGCTATGAGCAGTCAAACCTCTGGTACGGTGATAGGGACACTTCTCCAAATGATTACTTAGAAAACTGGCTACAGCAGCCCAACAACTGGCCTCAGAAAATGAAAAACAAAATTGGAAA